TTTTAACAACAAAAAAAAAAATGATGATTTACAAAAGTCCAATCCAAGCTGATACTGTTTCCCTTATAAGCATTTGAACATTTTACATGGATCCACAAAGGTGTTTTGTAGTCAAATGGACTTATTAAGCAGTATTTCTATGCAAACTAGTCTGGGTCAATTTTCCCAGGTATTCTTGCAATATCTAGATTTAACTAAACTTTTTTAATTTTAGAAAATATATTTTTGAATTATAATATTAATTATTTGTTCTTTAGTTTAACTAACTTTAAAAAAAAAAATGTCCAGGGACTCCATTTATATGTAGGTTGAATCTCCTTTGCTAAACTTCTATATTTACCTTTTCACCTTGAATTTCTTTTATCATTTTCTTTATTTACTTCTCTCATTTGTATCCTTTTTCCCTATTGTGCTCGCTATATTTGCTTTCTATAATATTCCTTTGCATTTGGCCTTTATTTCTGAATTTTTTTCTAATGCCTTCCTAACTTTCATCAGTTCTCATTTCATATATTCCTGTTGTCTAGCAATTTCTGATGTTGTATGTGTTTTCTTAACTTTCTTAAGCTAATTTGCAAATATATCATCAGTTTTCACCTGTTTAGCAGACACATTTTTCTGATGTAGTCTTGTGTTCTGTGAGAATATTTTTTGGTTCATCTTTTTAAAATTATTATTATAAAAAGAACTGTGATATCCAGAAGTTGTATGACACAGAAAGTAGGATATATAGAAAAAAATCGAGAGAGAACATAGATAGGTAATTTGGAGGCATGTTGTGAAAGTCCTTTTAAGCCACACGTAAGATCCTGGTTCTACATAGAGACCCAGCAGAATATTTTAAACACATAGTATTTACAAAGAAAAGTGTAATTGTATTTACATTAAAAAGTGTCATGATCATCAATAATCTGTTTGTTTTCTAGTCATTTCTAGTCATTAAGAGAAGTTTGTTAAAGTATTCCATTATGATTGAAGACACATCTTTTTCTTCTCAGAGTTATATCACTTTTGATTTATATATTTTGAAACTACATTATTGGGTGCATACAGGTTTATGACATTTTCTACATAGATTGGCATCTTTGTCATATTAAATGTCATTCATCATTTCCAGTAATGCATTAAGACCCAAAGTCTACTTTACACTAAAGTATTGTCATATCAGCTTCATTTCCCATCCTGCTATTTTCAACATTTCTGTCTCTACACTCTTAATTTCAAATGATGTATCTTTCAGTTCTAGGAAATTCCAACAATGTGGTAAAATTCTCCATCCTTATATTTGTGGCCTCTGACTTGCACTCTATTTCCTTGAATATATTAACCTTGTCTGCTAAGTCCAATACCTGAGTCACTCATAGTATTGTTTCTATTATGATGTTTTTTTTCCTTTTTTTTTTCTCTATGTCTTGACATACTTGTACTTTTTGACTCAAAACTGAATGCTATGCATATTACAAAAAAAAAAAAAAAAACCTCCCAAGGCTCAAAATTATATTATTGTACTCCAGAAAGGTGGGCAGACGGAGCAGGAGAAGACTTCCTTACTATAAACCGAGTTGAGCAGACTCAAGGCTGGATTGCAGCTTGGGTGAGATTCCATCAACTCCTGGTTTATCCAGGGGTAAGCTAAGGTGTCCATTGGGAACTCCCACCCCACTAGCAGGGACTGACCTCTGATATTTATATCCTCAGCCCTGAAATATTGTTAAAAACCCCACTCTGCTTCTAAAGGTTTTCTGCTGAGCCTATCAGTTTCTTGCCCTCCTTAGCTCCAGAATTGAATAAAATATGTTGACAGGAATACTGGTAGTGTCAGGCACGGCACTTGACCCTTCATGGCCCTACAGTTTTCAAGTTTTTATCTCTACATCCCTGCAATATCAAGAAAAATTTTTATGTACAACTTCACCTCTTACCATTCATACACACACACACACACACACACAGACAGCTGCATCCCTCTGTATGGCTTTGCCTGTAACATAGGTCTGTTTTTTTTGTTCAGAAATGGCAAACTCCTTCAGAGAAAAAGTAGCTGCAGAATGTTAAACCTAGTTTAACCAGGTTTTGTGTAGTAGTTCTGATAGGCACTCTAGTCAGTTCCAAGCTACTCCATCATAGCCAGTGCTGAGCCTGAATATGAAGAAGATTATTCTGGCAACAGTGAAGAAAAAAAGAAGTCATTAATAATGGAGACCAGTTGATATTTATCAGGTAAGAGATCATGCAGGTCTGGACTAACTAAATAATGAGAAATAAGAGGAGAAGAGATGTTTCAATGCACTGGAATATAGACTTGGAGAATTTCAAAGGCAGAGTCCATTTTAAGGGTAGGAGAAACTATAATGAACAGTGTTCTTTTAATTTATCATGTTTGGGATTCACCGAGTGCTTTGAATTTGAAATTCAGATTCAAATTCAATTTGAATCTGAAATTCACTGAAAGCTGTGAATCTGAAATTGTGTGTCTTTTATTTGAGAATTTTTCTGTCATTGTTTTTTCAACCTTTTTTTTCTGCTGTATTTAAGGTCACAAAGATGTGTATTGTCTATGCAGATGACATATAATAAACAGATAAATCATTCTGGATTTCAATCACAGTGCAGCACTCATCCCCAAAAATGCTGTCTTCATTTGAAATATACTGGTTTCTTCCACTGGTTTTTATCTTATCCTTCATAGCCTTTACGAAGCAAATATATTCAGTATTAATTAGGCAAACACACATTTCTGTGATTTATTTTTTTGCTCTAATTGATCAACACTAAAAGGTCTCAAATAAAATGCCCAGGGGAATCTAGAAGGTGTGTGATAATATTTAAGAAGCCTGCTTTAAATGTACAGGTACATTAATTTTACCTTTGCCTCACTTGTGGATAAGAGGGAAAGCAAGTATTTATATCTGCTGAGTCAATGTAAGAAGATACATAAAAATAGATGTGTATAATACTATTAGTAATAAAAATAGTATTTTTATTATTGAAAAATAAATAGATTAATTATTCTACTTTAAATGTACCGTTTGTAAGGAACACTCAGTGCCATCCTCATTTCATCTTCTCCCGTTCATTCCTCAGCTACCTGTTCATCTTCTGCGGCCTCTGGTCATCACTGATTATTCCACTCTTTGCCGCTGCCATGGCCTGTTGAATCTTTCCCCTTCACTGAGCTGTAGCTTCCCTTGGCCCTCATGGGAACCCTCTCACTTCTGTTTTCCTCTTGTAACTCAAATCCTTTCCTTCTGTTTCTCCCCACTGGCTTCAACTGTCGAGGTTCTCCGGAATTCTACTCACTACCTTTTGGTTTACTCATTGTATCCATTCTTCATAGGCACCTTATTTATTACTAACACTTCAGTTATCATCTCTATCCTGATTATTAGTCTTTATCTCCAGAGTTTTGATTTATATTCCCAACTTTACACCTGCCTATTTCAACAGTGATTGGAAAGACTTCAGATATCTCATTAAAAACAAATACAGCCAAAAAACAGTGTAACAACATATTTAAAGTGCTATAAGAAAAGAACTGTCGCCGGGCGCGGTGGCTCAAGCCTGTAATCTCAGCACTTTGGGAGGCCGAGACAGGCGGATCATGAGGTCAGGAGATCGAGACCTGGATAACACGGTGAAACCCCGTCTCTACTAAAAAAAAATACAAAAAAACTAGCCGGGCGAGGTGGTGGGCGCCTGTAGTCCCAGCTACTTGGGAGGCTGAGGCAGGAGAATGGCGTGAACCCAGGAGGCGGAGCTTGCAGTGAGCTGAGATCGCCCCACTGCACTCCAGCCTGGGTGGCAGAGCGAGACTCCGTCTCAAAAAAAAAACAAAAACAAAAACCAAAAAAAAAAAAAAAAGAAAAGAACTGTCAAGTCAGAATTCCAGACACAGTGAAAATATGCTTTAGGAAAGAAAGCAAAATAAAGATAATCTATGATGAAAGAAAAGTAAGGGAATTCATAGCCAGTAGAACTGCACTAAAAAAATGCTAAAAAAAATTCTCCAGGTCAAAAAAAGAGAAAAACTACTCTAAATGCTAAATGTAAACTTGAAACTTAAGGAATGAAGAAGAAAGCAGAAATTGCTAAGTGTCTAGATAAATATATTACACCATTATGTATAATTATTGAAATAAAAAAGTATAACATTTTGTGATAGAGTTCTGAACACATGAAGATGTGATACCTAAGACAGCTACAACATGGAATGGGAAGGATATGGCGACCAATTTGGTCATAAAGTCTTCACATTTCACTGGAAATGAAGAACCATCTCTAAGAAGACTAACAAGATAATAGGCATATATGCTGTAATCTCCAGAACCACCACACATACATGTACACACCACTGTACAAAGAGATTCGGTTCACAAATAGATAAATTAGGCCAGGTGTGGTAGCTCACGCCTATAATCCCAGCACCTTGGGAGGCCCAGGTAGGCGGACGGCTTGAGGTCTGGAGTTTGAGACCAATCTGTCCAACATGGTGAAACCCCGTCTCTACTAAAAATAGAAAAATTAGCCAGGCATGGTGCACGTGCACATAATGTGTAATGTGGAGGGGAGGGGGGGCATTTCCATTAATAAAAGCACATTGTTTCCTAAGGATGTAACTTAGGAAAAGATCACACCATTAAATAGACAGGATCTGGTGTTTCACTAATTAATATTATAATCTTGTAATAAAAAAGAAAATACAACGTATAGCACAGTGTCTTTCAAATAGTAGGCACTCAACAAGTATCTATGAAATTATTAATAATTCATGAGTGATTACTGTTTATCATGCTTCAGTAAAAACATCTTTCATACCTCACACATTATTAAAATGCTATTACTGTGTAAGCGTCTTGAAATATTGACCAACAGTCAAGCTGCAAGTAGGTTTCTATTCTAATATGCAACAATATTAAACAGTCTACACATTACCAAAGTCTAGAATCTCTACATTTATAGACTGCTAAACATTTATAGACTGTCAAAATACAAATACATACGTGTCTGTCCTCGGCCCCACAAGCCGCGAATCGCCCACAAGGACTGAAAGCAATTCCACATGGATAGCCGCGGGATGGATGCCCTTCAAAGTGGCGCTCACACCTACGGGGAGGAAAGAAACACCAGGAGAAAAATCATTTTTAAATTTGAATGCAAATTAGAGGAAAGAAAACAACTTGTTGCTTTTCTTCACAAAAAGAACAAATGAATAATGGAAGAATATTTTATACGTAAGAATTATTAAATGGTTAATGGGTCTCTCTCGAGATATTTTAAAATAACTCAAACACTATTCAAAATCTTAAATTCCCAAAGATGACAAAACTAATAGTAAATAAGCTTTTATATATGATAAATATTAAATGTAAACATATTCTGGAAATTTTTAAAATATCAAAACAAACCTAACAAATCTTCTAAAATAATAAATTATTTAGTTAAATTATTCAGAGACGTTTTGGAGGCAAAACATTCTATGAAGGGTGGTTAAGTTTCACAACTATTTAAAAAGTACCATATAAAATTTGTTTATTGTGAAAAATGCCAAGGAATTCTTGTTAATTTTATGGAGAGAATCTCCAACACCTTTTGGAGATTACCAGCGCCTTCTTAAGAAGACTCCGCAAGCACTGAGCAGCACTGGGCTGGGGACCACAAAGATGCCTGACAAGGTTCCTGCTCCAGGTGCCCTGAGTGGTGGCAAAGTCATACAGCACACAGGTAATAATACCAATACAAAATACAAATACGGTACTATACGATACAATACAACACAAATACAACACAAACACAAATGCAAATACAAAATACAAATACAATACAAATACAAAATACAAATACAATACAGTACTAACAAAGTACAAATACAAATGCGAATAAAAATACAAATACAAAATACAAACACAAAATATAAATACAAAAGATGTGCTTTTGTATTTGTTCTAGTGATTAAAGTGATGAAAGAGCAGAGCAAAGACACTCTGCTAACTGTATCCTTGTGCACAGTGTAAGTGCATGCACATACACATAAAAATCCGTATCAGCTTGTTATATTGTTGAGTACATTATATATGCAGTGATCATAATTATCAGGACATATATACTTTTTTGCTTAAACAGGGTTTTATTTGTATATAAATTACATTTCATATAAATATATAAAATTAATAGCATATATGTGACAAACAATCTGTAAATTAAGCTTACGGCTGTTGATAACAATGTAACTGCCTAAACATCTCGCTTTGGAATGCTGGAAGCCTGCTCACATAAAGCTACCTTTACATATCTAGTTATGGCTTTTACTGATATAAAATTTGCTGTAAAATAAAATAGGACTGGCAGAAATAGTAATCAATTAGTTCTATAGAAGCAATTTCATAACAATTTCACTTTTTACAATAAATATGTATCTTTTTATTCCCTTAAAAAAGTAATTTCTGTTGACTATCTACTAGGAATATACATATTGGACACTTTATATTTACAGGAATGATTTATATTTTCAAAACAATCTTAGGAAAATAAATTAAGATAGCTTAGCTAAATATTTTTTTATTAACTTGTTTTCCATACAATGCCTGCAGTTCTGTATGTCACAGTAGAGGCTTAACCTAAGTCTCCTGGATCTTAAAAGGCTTCTGTCCAAATTCTCTGACGATTACAAATATTTAAATATTAATTATCCAAATGTCAATGAAAAGAAGCCCTGTGCAGTAAAGCAGTGTCCACTTCATTGTAAGACATAGCAATGGAGCTGAACAACCACAGAGCCGTCTCTGGGCAGGGCTAACCGGGCTCCTCCGCGGGCAGCAGTTCAGCTGAAAACACATCCGCCCAATCATATCTATCATCTAGAATCACGCTGGATGCAGTTACTGCCTTAAAACACTCACCTGAAGAACAAAGCTATTTAAGCGTGAAATAGTTGTACACAATTGTGATAAAAATGCCATGCCTGACTATGTAATATCTTAATTTGTTGATTTTGTGTGTCAAGTTCAGTATTTTATTTATTGACTACCTATCATGTCCTATGTAGTATAAATTCTACAAAGAGAATTATTTTATTTATTTATTTATTTATTTATTTATTTATTATGGAGTCTCACTCTGTCACCCAGGCTGGAGTGCAGTGGCATGATCTAGGCTCATGTGACCTCTGCCTCCCAGGTTCAAGCAATTCTCCTGCCTCAGCCTCCTGAGTAGCTGGGATTACAGGCATTCACCACCACACCTGGCTCATTTTTTTATTTTTAGTAGAGACGTGGTTTCACCATGTTGACCAAGCTGGTCTTGAACTTCTGTGCTGGGATTACAGGTTTGAGCCTACCACACCTAGCAAAGATAATTCCTTTTTTTTTTTTGTTTTGAGACAGAGTCTTGCTCTGTCACCCAGGCTGGAGTGCATTGCCACAATGGCCAAGATAATTGTCTAGAAAAATTCTGTAGATGGTAATATAGGCTGTAGAAAATAACCTGAACTGTATTGTGCTACTGAGAAAAGACTAAATCTTTGTAAAAATGTCATAAACATCTGTCACAATATTTGTCATACATTTAATTCCTTTTTTCTTTTACATTAATTTTTTAATTTTCACATTCTTCTTTTACTATTAAAAAAAAAAGAGAGAAAAATAATCAAGTACTCATAATCCTTCCATTCAATAACAACCCCAGAAAGTGCTGTGGCACATGTACTGCACATTTTCTCTGCATGTGCAAAGGGCTTTGTTTTCCTTTAACAAAGTAGAGATGCATACTATGCAGCTTTATATCCTGCTGTGTCTACCCCAGAATACACCATGAACATTTCCCTCATGAACATGTGTTTCTTGTCTAATGAGCTCAGCGAAGAGGCCATAGAGAGCACTGGCCAAGAGCAGGTGACCCAGGGCCAAGTTCAACCCTGACGCCAGCTAAGCCCCTTCTCACCAAATGAGCAACTTTGGTGAGTTGCTCACCTCTGTGCTGCATTTTCCCCATTCACGAAATGGGCCTAAATGAGTTCATAAAGTAAATTTCTTCTTACAGCACATGGCACATTAATAAGTGCTCTAGAAGTGTAATTGAACTGGGTTCAGGAGAAATTTAAAAATTTTTGAAATGAATGAAAGTGGTAATACAACATAGTAAAGCCTGTATGATACAGTAAAAGTAGTGTTAAGAGGAACATTTATACCATTGAATGCCTATACCAAAAAACTAGAAAGATCACAAATTAACGACCTAATGTTGCACCTCAAGGAACAAGAAAAGCATGACCAAACCAAATCCAAAGTTAGCAAGAAATTTAAAAGATCAGAGCAGAACTCAATGAAATAGAGACCATCAAAACAATTTAAAAGATCAACAAAATGAAAAGTCAGTTATTTGAGAAGATAAACAAAATTGATAAACCACTTGTAGACTAACCAAGAAAAGATGAAATCTAAATAAACAAAATTAGAAATGAAAAACAGACATTACAACCAATACCACAGGAATGCAAAATATCATCAGAGACTATTATGAAAAACTACACACTCACAAAACAGAAAACCTAGAGAAAATGGATAAGTTCCTGGAAATACACAACTTCCCAAAGTTGAAGCAGGAAGAAATAGAACACCTGACCAGACCAATAATGAGTAGAAAGACTGAATCAGGGAAAAAAAAAAAAAAAAAAAAAAGTTTCCCAACAAAGAAAAGCCCAGGACCAGATGAATTCATAGGCAAATTCCACCAAACATATAAAGAAGAACCAATATCAATCCTGAAACTGTTCCAAAATGTCAAGAAGAAGGGAATTCTCCCTAATTCATTCTATGAGGCCAATATCACTCTGATACCAAAACCAGACAAGGACAAAACAAAGAAATAAAACTATGGTCCAAGATCCCCGATGAACATAAAAACAATTTTCAACAAAATATCACCAAACAGAATCCAATAGCACATCAAGAAGATAATACACCATGACCAAGTGGGTTTTATACCAGGATGCAAGGATGGTTCAACATACAAAAATAAATAAATGTGATACATCACATAAACGGAATCATGGACAAAAAACATAGGATCATTTCAATAAATGCAAAAAAAAGCACTTGATAAAATTCAGCATCTCTTCATGATAAAAATCCTCAATGAAAACTAAGCATTGAAGGAATATACATAAAAATAATAAGGGCCATATATAACAATCCAATAGCCAAGGTCATACTGAATAGGGGAAAGTTGAAAGTCTGTCCTCTAAGAACTGGAACAAGACAAGGATGCCCACTGTCACCATTTCTATTCAATATAGTCCTAGAAGTCCTAGCCAGAGCCATTAGGCAAAAAAAAAAAAAAAAAAAAAAAAAAAGTTAAAAAGTTGCTTTCTTTTTTTAAAAGAAGCATCCAAATTGGTAAAGAGGACATCAAATTATCCCTGTTGACTGACAGTATAATCTTATATCTAGAAAAACCTAAAGACTCCACCAAAACACTCTTAGATTTGATAAATAAATTCAGTAAAATTTCAGGATACAAAATCAATGTGTAAAAATCAGTAGCATTTCTATACATCAATAATGATTTAGCTGAGAACCAGACATCAGTCCTATTTACAATAGCTACAAAAACAATGAAATACCTAGGAATATAATTAACCAAGGAGGTAAAAGATCTCTATAGGGAAAACGATAAAACATCAATGAAAGAAACTAGAGATAACACAAACAAAGAGAAAAATGTCCTATGCTCATGGATCAGAAGAATTAATATGATTAAAATTACCATACTGCCCAAAGCAATCTATAGATACAATGCAATGCCTTTCAAAATACCAATGTTGTTTTTCACAACGTTATATATATTAAAAAAAAAAAAAACCCTAAACTTCATAAGGAACCAAAAAAGAGCCCAAATGGCCAAATTAATCCTAAATAAAAAGAACAAAGCTGAAGGCACCACATTCCCAGACTTCAAATTATACTACAAGGTTATAGTAACCAAAACAACATGGTACTGGTATAAAAATAGACATATAAACCAATGGAACAGAATCCAGAACTCAGAAATAAAACTACATATTTATAGTCAACTGATCTTTGAAAACTGACAAAATCAACAATGGGGAA